CCCCCCCCCCCCGCCAAGATGAGGGTGTGGGGTCACGGGGAACCCCCAGCCGCCCCTCACAAGTAGGAACTCCGCCAGCCGGCCAGGGAGAACCCTCCATTTCCCCCCTTTAAAGGAGACTCGCGGGACCTTTTCATATGTTCCTTCATGTCCAGTGTGGGTCACGACCAACAGGCTCAGAAACACTGCTCCGCAGCGCTCCCGGCTACACAGACAGATTTTAGGACGGACAGCCTCTTCTGCTTTTTAACAGGTTTGTTAATTGAGTGCAGACTGATCTTTACCACAGCACATGCCACTTTTTGTCAACGTGCTTATTAATCAAAAATAAAGACAAAAAGACAAGTGACTTTTTTTTAAAGTGATATTTTGTCCTTAGTAATGCAATCATCCCATTTCTCTAAATAGGAATAAAATCTTTTAAAGGAAGGTACACACCTGACTGGTGGAATTAAAGGATTGTTACAGGGTGACAAGATTAAGCGCAATTTTCTGTTCTGATTCCAAAAGAACTGTCTCTGGTAGTTGCAGAATAGTTGAAATAGAAAACTCCACTGTTTAATTGCTGGCAGCAGAGCAAATTTGACCAGTGTTTTGATCATGAATCTTAGCTGCAAATTAAATGGAGCCTTTGCAACGGTAACTGAAACGGATACAGCATGTAATGAAATACATTTTAGAATAGACTGGTGTCAGCTACAAGAAAGCCCATTCATTTCTAAAGAGTCAATAACCATGGAATGAAAGATGCTAAGATTTAGTTCAAAAAATATACTGCATGGTTTGTAGATAGTAACCAACACTATTCAGTTGTTTAACCCTATGCACATCATATTTCCATTTAGACTGCCTTCAGTTACTTTTTATTGAATGCCTCCAGTAAACGCAGCAGGTGTAGGAACAGATTGATGATATCCAAATAGAGGTTGATTGAAGCCAATATATACTCTTCAGGGGACAGCTTGTGCATCACCAAATGAGTGTCATAAATGATAAATCCACAGAACAGAAGAGCTCCGCCAGCTGCAAATACCAGTTCCATTGTCTCACTATAGAAAAACAGCTAAAGCCAGACAAAAGTGTGAAAAGGAAAAACAGTGGTAAGTTCTATTTCATTAAGCAGATGCACTTCAGTATTAAAAACTATTACTAAGAAATTTAAATTATTTTGGCCTTCTACTGGAGTATACTTACTGCACCACAACAGTATTAGTGGCAGGATGTTCCAAAATTTTGTAAAAATCTTGGGATTGGAACAGAAGAAAACAGTCATCACCTTCCAGCAGATAATTAGATGAGATTTTTCCAAACTAATTATATTTTTAGACCCTAGTAGTGCAGATACTTGTATACTACTTTCAATATGATTATTCCCCATAGGGAATCACATGCAAGGGTGTTTGTAGTATCAAGGCCAAAGAGGTTTGCTTGGTATTAAGTCCTCTCCACATGGGGCTAAGCAAACTACTTTTGTAGAGCTACAAAGTCAAAGAGTAAGATCCTAACAGAAACTATACAAACATCCTCTGCACCAAAACAGACTGTTTTTTTCCCCAGCTCCTCAGTTTGTCTATTTTCACTGAGCTCATTTCACTGGAAGCAGTGCCTCCTCTCAGTGGAGGAAAGGATGCTCTGCCTCCTTGATAGTAATGGTAGAAGAGAATTTAAGAGAGGAAACAAATACTACTGAAAAAGTTAATCTCTTCTCCATACTAATTTGGATAAACCTAACCATTTAAATCCCTACCATCAATTCTACAGCAGCAAGAGTATTCTAGTTAAATTAATTTGAAAAGTACAATTGAGAGGTTATAACAGAACTTTTTCCAATAATAGCTCTAATCACTATTTTTTTGCTGATGAAAAAATCTAACTTGTCAAAACTAAACCTGTTTGTGAGAGAGGCCAGACTTGACCATGTTTTGGTACATACAGTACCATATCCACATTCCCTCTTTTGTTGACATGACATCTAAGTTAATCAAAATAGTCTAAAGATAGAAAGACAATGAGTGATTTTTTTAATGTGCCTTTTCATACTTTTTTCTTTGTAAAACAATCATCTGATAGTTCTAAGAGTAAAAGCTTTTAAAAGCAGTGTCACATTTTATGGATGGAATTTCGGAAGTTTCATCAATCTAAGATGGAAAAGCAGAGAAACAGCTTGGAGATTCACTTGAGAGATGAAGACCTATGTTCGGTCCCAGCTCAGCTGTTCTCCTATATCCCATACATGTGTCTTAAGCCCCAAGACAGTTATTCTTACATGGGTCTCCCTCAATCCCTTCCACTTGAGCAATTTCACTTTAATATTATTTTGTTCTGGTGAACATTATTTATACAAATTATACAACTGCCACCTCCACATTTAGGACAAGCACTCTAACCACTGGGCTCCAGTAAATCCTTCTTTCTGGCCCAATGAATATTTATTTACACAAAATGAAACAGATTCAACAAGAGAGAGAGAGACAGAGATCACCTCCCCTTCCTCTGCTGGAGCAGTTGAGCTTTGTATAAATAAACATTAACTTGGCTAGAGACTGGCTCCATAGCAGTCCCCTGGTTATAATGCTCACTTTAAAGGTCAGAGACCCACATCTGAGTGCCATAACCATTAGCTGTTGGCAATTCTGCAATGTATCTGTTTTTCTGTGGAAAAAAAAACAAACTTCAAAAAAGTCTGATTCCTCCCAGTGTGGAACAGGGAAAACCCCTGAAATCTAGACATGTTTCATAGCACCAAGAAATAATTTTTTACCTAGCAACTTGTTCATAGGTTGCATCAGCAATTACCCTTAATTTTTAAGCATACATTACACAGATTTAAATTAGATTGTGACTGAGCAGCCTATAGTAATAGTTTGTTTATAAATATTGTATATTGTAATGTTAATGCTTAGTCTTATATTACCATTTTATTATTTAGATCAACAGTGAAATAAAGAGGTGTCTGAGTGATTTGGAAGTCTCAGTTATATTGATTTTCTCTAAAATTGCAGAGAGGGCTTTAAATCTGATTTAAGGCATTAAAGTTTTACAGCTGAAATTTTTACTCCAAGATCCATGAGTCCCCAAAGTATCTGAAGCATGTTCTGATCTAAAAATGTCTTAATTTTAGGAGGACAGGGGAAGGAAATTCTGAACTCAGCAACTTAAATAATAATTTTTAGTTCTACACACAAGCCATCTTACCCGCAAGAAACCTGAGAGGATTAAAATCCACAAGCAAGCAAAGAGCCTGGAAAAAAAAAGACATTAGTGTATTAGTTTTATTACTGGTTGTTTAGATGTTTTTTCAAGCTCTTTCCTCCCCACATTAAATAACCAGATAGCTAGGTAGTATATATAAAGTGTACACATATATTATGCACAATCTGAAAGAAAAATGTTAAGATTAAACTGCCAATCATTCATTGTTATCAACACTAAAATCTTCCCATTATAGGAACCAGTGACAACTGAAGTTCAGAATTTATTACATTTGATTTAGCTACCTGATAGTCCAATGAAGACACATAAATACATAATTTGTTCGTGTAGTGCTATATTTTTAAAAGTTATAATAATAATAAAATAAACAGTACTTCCACAAGAACAAGTACTTCCTAAAGGAGTAAAGCACAGAAAAGCCTTATCTTAACAAGTAGTACAAATCAAGGCACCCTTTAGTGACATAAAACTGAACAACTCAGCTTCCACAGACCTGATTCATGTACTGTATATATAAGACTTGTGCATTTTGTGGTTTTGTTGTTACTGTCTCTGATAAGGAAACTTACCCAGCTCCACATTTGCTGAAATCTCTCTTCGACTGCAGAGTATATGCAGTTAGCCCAAGAAACACAGCAGTAGTAAGAATAAAAGCTTGTAGGACAATGGATACATCATAGAAACTCACTGTAAACGGAAGAAGTAAACTGTCCTTTAAAAACAGCATGTTATGTATTTGCTATAATTGTTATTTAATCAAAGCTTAAACACCATATATATTTATTATTTTTTTTAATGTATAGTTTGTCAGACACAGGTCTGCAATTGATCTAATGTTCTCAAGGCTGATCCATAATTTAACATGTAGCTCGTGTTTCTGCATTAGCAGGTTCTTGACCTTTTTTCTGATAAATATAGTTTTCTTAAACAGAGCTGCTAGATCTTTTATACTCATACTAAAGGCATTTTTGGACTTGGTGTGCAAGATTGGCCTAATCCAAGGCTTGAGAGGTTTCTAACCTCATTCACACAGTCTCTCTCTTGCTCATTAACAGTCCACTCACTGTGGTAGAGTGGAAGTGTGTAACTTCTTTTGTAATTAATAGTAGAAGGAGGTGCCTTAAAACCTGTTTTCTTCCTTCTGCTTTTATGTCTTTGCCACATTCATGGTGGAATCAAAGGATTCCTCATCATCCACACCGTATTTGGCAATAAGTAAGCGTGTTGGATTTCATTTCCATATTTTCATGGGAAACTGATGGGCAGTATTAGAATGACTATTGTTTACCTGCAACAGCAACAGTCAGTGCTTCCAAAAAGGTCTATGAGAAGTTAAAGAAATAGAATTTAAAAAAAAAAAAAAAAGAAAAAAGCGTAAGCTCAAAGCGTTCACATGGAGACAACATTCAAAAACACCAGTTTGGAGTTAAGGCATTTTGCTACATAAGTTTACCACATGTAAAATGTAATGTGTATTATAGAAACATGTTCATTTATTAAAGTGTTTTCTGTTCTAAAGTAAAACTGTCAAGGTAGCAAGAAAATGGCAACTACAGTACTCGTTCCTGGACAGCAAGTTATATAATTGCTATATACAATTTTTATTTTATTGCTGTGGGAAAGTGGCAACTCCCCAAAGTACCAGGTATTATATGGCTTGTTTTCTTTTTTCAAGCACTACATGTAGTAACGTTAAGTTCAAATCTCCCACAAATGATAATAAATGATTAGGTAGGTTTCTTAGAACTGCTGTAACTGAACTCCTTTCAGCTTCCCTCCCCCATGTCTTTTTCAGTGGGAATTTCAAAAACAAACTGAAGTAGGCACTTGTGTTCTTAAAAGTCTTTGACTTTTTCCTAAAACTATAGTTTGAAATTCATATATGTATAGTTTAATTTACACATTTGTATTTATATTTTATTTAAAGAAAGAACACATTTATATGCTTAAGACATTAATCCTTGGCTGTGTTTATCACATTGGTTCAAGTTTATTATAATAGGTCTTTCCTTAAACCAATTTATCACATACCATATTTAAGAGTTTTATCCTACTCCTCCTGCTCAGTGCAATATTTAAAGGGCTACAATGCAACAGTCCACACCACACTACACTGCAACATTTTATTAAAATGATTTAATCACTTCACTTGAAATTGGAATAAATGTTGAAAACATTTCACATCATGACTTCAGAAGCATATACCTCTGCCTTCTACTGTATGGCTTTTGAAGAAATTATTATGTCTTGTAAGTCAAGACAACTTTGTGGCAGTCTTTAAAATATTTGAAGAACATAATTTATACGAGTTCAGGTGTTAAAGCAAGAAATTCAGCAAGAGAAATGCAGCACCTTTCTTTGGCAGATTGAATTGCATTATATACTGGGCCAGAACTCCTTCAGCTATGCTAAGTAACTATGAAATAACGGCCCAATTACACATGGGTTGACTACTGGACACAGTGTCCTTGGGTTGGACACACACTCAGAACTCTTAGCACCGAAGGAAAAAAAAACATTCAAAGTATTTTATTTTTCTGCAGAAGTCCCTCTGTTTGTGTTGGGGACTGCTTCATCTCCACTAAAGACTCTGCTAAGTTAACTCCTGAACATGTATTGTGATATAGAAGCTTCCTCAAGGCACGTTTCTGACTCACCATCTAAAAGATTACTTAAATTGAGGGACAAGGCAAAAACAAAGTGAAGGAGCTTTATAGAGATCTGTTTAAAGCCTTGATGCTATGTACTGTTTCCAAAGGAAATTACCAGGCTGAGTTGGAGGATTCCAAGAAAAAAAACCCAGACAAATATCTTGAAGGACTTCAGGAAGTTTATACTAGACCTTTAAAAGGAGTACAATAAACATGAGTTAGGTGTCATTAGCTTGTTTTAAAACACTGTTTGCAAATTAAAAATGTACTAAGGATTATTCTTAACGAATGAAGCTGGAATACTTACAAATCCAAACAGTAGGTATAAATTAACAGGATGCTGATGTCTGTACAGGGTTAGGGCTAAAATCATGCCCAAAGATCCAAGCACAGATAGCAGAAGCAAAGCAGGCCTGTAAAGTTTCAGACAGAAAAGTAACCATGGTTAACAAAACACTACTTCACCCAAGATAAAAAAACAACCACCCACAACAAACCCTGAACATCACACATTTCCTGGAATATCTGGAAAAGGAAATTGTAACTGAAGGGCAAGGGACCTGCTTATACCAGAAGTTATAGGCTGTCTACAGATCTCACAAAAGCACCTCCAGAGAACAGAAAAGAAAATGTCCTCACCAAGCATGCAAAATATAAGAAACCTTTTGTAAAAAAAAAAGCAAACTCACAATATTTACACACAGTTTCCAAGTTTATCAAAACTTGGGCATGTCTAACTTTAAGCACATATCCCAGTTTACAAGAAAACCATTAATTCACTGTTGAAATGAAACTATTAAGGCAATTCTGCAAGAAAAACAAAGATGGTTCTGAACCAGGAGCAGGATTTCAGCTATAAATATAATTAATTGTATTTTATATGGTATCCTTTATGTAGCATTTTATCATAGTGATAAAGTAGAAGAAAGTTAAAGCAAAATGTAAAGCATATCTGTTACAGAGTGAATGAGATGGAAAGCTGTAGATAGAAAAATGAGGGGAAGAAAACTGCAGGTACATGAAGAATTTAGGATACTAGTCTTCAGTCAGAGTCAGAAATGATCGGATAGAAAGGAAAGGTTATAGGGGAAGGCTATGGTACAGCTTCCTGGAACAAGACAGTGACTAACTGAAAAACATTGCAAATGCCAGAATTCTGAAAGGATACTTAGGTAGCGCAAGAGTGATGTAGCTGTGATGGTCCAGAAATTATGTGAGGCAAGGATTCCTTAGGACAATATCTTTTATTGGACCAACTAAGTAGTTGGGATAAAGTTAGACAAGCTTTTAAATGCTAAACATTCTTCCGTCCTTGTGACAGACCTAAGGAAGAGTGTCTAGCATTCAAAAGCTTGGTTAACTTTATCCCAACTACCTAGCTGGCCAAATAAAAGATATCATCCTAAGAAATCCTTGCCTCTCAAAAGGATATGTAAGACTATAGAACAGAAACAGCACTAGTTAAGATACAATGTAATTAAGACATGGGTTTTAGTAGAACAGGATGAAGGTAAATATAAATTCTGGTATTGAAAGCAATGGGAAACATAGAAAGAAAAAGTAAAGTTCAAAATCTAGTCAGTTTTCAAGACTTATTTCAGACTTATTTCAGAGGAACAAAGTTAAGAGATCTGTTCAGACACAAAGTGTGGTTTTATTCAGAACAAAGTTTTCTCTTTTTGTCTCCTCAGCTCTCTCCCTTTCCCCACCAAAATTTGTACATGATTATCACACATTTTACATTACAGTACATTTTAGATATTGGAAAGGGTTCCCATTTCATTTTTAAAATTTTACCTTTCATGCACAAAGGTCTGAACGGTACTGGAGTAGAGGAAAACAGCGGATGTCACTGTGGTCAGAAGAACTTGAACTGAAAGAATGCTGTACACTTTTCGTAGAAAAGCTAGGATAAAAAAAAACAAAAAATACCTCAACTTGGTCTGGTCATTACTGAATTACATTTTAGACTAAAATTAGACATATGTTTGCAATGGGATACGGAAATGCCAGAAAATGTTCTTACTACACGCTTACTGATATAACATAGATCAGTGATTCTCAACCAGGGTGTTGCAAGATCCTTTTTAAGGGTACCACGAGGAGTTGCACAACTGTTAAGTGTGCAAACACCTATAAGAGAAACCCAAAAATTTCAAATAGGAATCCATAGTACCTAAACATTCTGACCTGTTGTAGTTCAAGTTCTCTGGAATAGAAGAACTGTTCTATTATTTTCCTATAGTGAAAAAAATGAGTGAAAGCTAAGAGCCAGCATTTTCCAAGGGATGCCTGGAATCTAACAAGGTTGAGAACCACCAGCATCGGGCAAAGTTCTAACAATCCCTTTTCCTTACAACTGATTAAACTGTTGCCAAATTACTGTGGTCATCATATTATTTGATAAATATGATAAATTGTTCATGGAAGAAATTTACAGTAAGGAAAGATTTTAAAAGCTGTATAAGGGGACATTCAGTACCAATTTACAAATATTTGAAAGGTATCAACACTAGAGGATGGAGAGCGATTACCTGGGTGGTATGTGGGGCTATATCAAAGTATAACAGGATAAAAGAAACAGGGAAAAATATTAGTGGTAATGTCTTTTACATTGTAGCTAGTTTCCTGAAATGGAAGACTTAACACTTGGGATTTTCATATTAGACTGGACAAATTTTTGGAAACCATGCTAGTGAATAATTCTGCAGTGGTAAGACTTTTATGTTAGGAGAGTACTTTGAGCAGGACTTTAGGCAGTTCAGTAACTACAGTATCTCCTAAACAGACTCTAAATCTCAGTTTAGAGTCAAAGGAGATTTATTTTTTTAATGCGTACAAGGGATGGAGGATGGACTGTCTAAAGCTTTGCTTTCACAAAGCAGATCATTCAGGTTGTTATTCCCAGATCACCATTCAAGGGAGCCAGAACTCTCTGCTTTATACTCCTGGGCAGTGATAGTAAGCACTGGAGGGTTTGTGCACAATCATCTGTGCCATGGGCTGGATGAGTGGTGCAGGGCTAGTTCATGTGCTATACTGGACCCCCGTACTTCCAAGATAGGCCCTAAACCACCAGATGGGGTCCCCTGTGTGTCCAAATCAGGCTCTGGGCCAACTGCTGGTGCTGATCTCTGGCACAGTTCCCCACAAGTCTGGAAATTTGCCAGCAGGTGAGTGGCAACCATTGCCACTGCTCCCCCACTGCCAAATTTTCAGACCTGTGGGGCTCCTGCAGGTTGGAAGGCATGGCTGCACAGGCAGGATTTGGCCCATAGGCCAGGGCAGAGCATCCCAGTCTAGAGAATCTCACTGCCAACAGCTTCAGGAGGAGGAATGCACTAACTTGTTTTAAAGCACAGATATGGAGAAAGAGAAGATTTGAGGGGCAAGAGAAAGACAACTCATCTTTACTTCAAGTCTAACCAAGCTATGATCATAACTACATCTATCAGAAACCATGGAAGTCTCAATTCTGCAAATGCTTACACATACATAATTAAACACAAACAGAGCTAGTAACACCGTGTCCAAGTTAGCACATGCTTCACTATTTGCCAGACTGGGGCCTAGTGTCACAATAACACAAAGAAGTGTACATGAGTCGCTTGTTAAGTGGAAATCTTCCAGGCTATGAATTATTAAAAGCAGCATTGTGCTGTCTTTAACATCTCTGATTGCCATTTTCCTTCTTCAGAGACCCATAGAAACAAGACTGTAGGCTTGCTGAGAAAATCTAGCTACAAACCTAGGACAAGAATGTATGTTTAAGAGTGTCTGACAGAAGGAAGGGCAGATACACACCTTCACAGACTAACTAATTCAAGTTATATATACAGAGAGTGAGAAAGAGCACAAGCTTTTGTCAATCCAAGTTCACATCACATGCTGTGAAAGAATGTGCAGAAAGCAGATCACACAAGCACCAGGACTGCATTTGTGATGGTCCCAAAGACATGTATAGTTTTTAAATTCACATGTTTGAGCTCATATTTCATTTAAAGAAAGCATGGGTTTATATGCCTACAAGAACCTCCCACTGTATTTACTGTGTTGGTTCAAGTCTATTAAAATAAATAGTTCTTTCCTTAAACCAATTTATCACAACATGTTTATGAGTTTAGTCCCCTCCTTCCTGCTCAATGCAATCCCTCTTCCACATCTTTCAGAACCTCCTGCTGATGTTCCAGCTGCACTTCTGCTCACGCCTGTTATGCTATGCGCTCCCTATCCATGGCCCTACAAAGCTCTGGGACCTCCTAATCAACATCCTCCTGGCTCTGGATAAGCTGGCCATCTAGGATACCAGCACAGAGGCTCTGGCTGGGGGGAACCCAGGCAAGTGCAGGGCTGTCTTCCTCTCATTCCTTTGCTTGCGGCTCCGGGAAGAGATCCCCTGGTCAGCTTGACTCATTCAGGGGGTAGCAGGCACTGCTCGGTCCCCCTTCTGGATCCCTTGTTTTGAGTCTGTGACCCTCACTCCCATTCCTGTTTTCTTTTTTATTTGTCCCAAGCAATCATAGAAAATTAGGGTTGGAAGGGACCTCAGGACGTCATCTAGTCCAAACCCCTGCTCAAAGCAGGACCATCCCCAACTGGATCATCCCAGTCAAAGCTTGGTCTGGCCTGGTCGGCCCAGCAATCAGCTGATGTGTCCTCACTGGTTTCCCTTACTAAGTGAGGCTTATAGTAATCTCTGATGGCCTAAACCCAAATTTATGACACAACAAATAGGCCTGCTCAGGGCTACACTGAAACGGCCATAATGCAAGAGTCCACAAGACACGACACTGCAATATTTTACGAAAATGACGTAATCATTTCCCTTGACACTAGGATCAACGTTGGCAGCTTTCCATATCACAAATCCAGAAGAAACAACTTTTGCCTTCCAAGCCCAATTCACGTAAAACACACTTTTCCAGCCAGGAGACCTTACGCCACCCTCCAGCTCCCCTGCGCAATACAAATTTTTCATTTCCACCTGGGGAAAACTGTACAACCATCACACTCTCCTTCCCCTGAGGAAAGGCACATGTGCCCGAAAACTTACAAAGAAAGAAAACTTTTTTTGCAACGGTCTAGTTGCTCTAATAAAAAATAACTGCCCCTCCCACATGGACCTCTGGGCTGCCTGAGCCAACAGGCCCCCGCGCGGGGTTTTGAAGAACTCGTCCTTACATCTTGCCAGTCTCGTTCAGCGCGCAGACCCCAGAGTAAGGACAAACCTATCCTCCCCGCCAGCACCACCTCCCGACGCCGGGCCCTCGGGATGTCCTGGCAGGACAGGGGCACCTGAGTCCACGGGCCCGCAAGCGGGACCGCCCCGCCGGGCCCACGCTGCGCCCTGCAGACCCACCCATGCGGATGTGGACGCTGGCCGAGGCCACGCTGCTGCCGTAGTTGAAGTCATCCTCGATGGAGGTGCGCGGATAGCTCGGATCCGCCGCCATCGCCATCGCAGCGTCTTCACTGCCGGGTGGCGGCGTCGAGCGCCGAGCAATCGAGCCGCCACCGGGCGGGCCGCCGAGCAATCGAGCCGCTTGCTCCACAAGCGTTCCCCGGCGCGTGCGCAGGTGTGGTCGCGTTTGTCCGTGGCGCTGGGCCTGGCCCTGCAGAACGAGCGCCGGGCTAGCCGGCACTGGCGCTCGGGGCTAGGGATGTAGGTGCCCCTGCTCCGCTGCCCGGTCCTCGCCCCTGAGCTGCAGTGCCCCAGGCTGCCGCTGCCCCGCTATAGCCCAGCCGCACAGCGGGCAGCTCTGGTGGGTGCGTCTGGCCGTACGTAGCCACAAGCACTGCGGGGCTGAGTCTTGTCACAGCGGCAGCCCAGTGCGCTCGCCCCTGCCCCCGCCCGGCTGTGGCCCGGCTCTCCCACTCTGCCAAGGCCTGCTGGGGGCTTTGGGCAGGTCTTTTAGCCCCTGTGCCCCTCAGGTTCCTCCCCCCTGAGAAGGGGAGTGATGATGTTGGTCTGTGGCGATCTACTGAAGAAAACCTCTGCCTGAAAAATGGTTGTTCTCCATCTTTTTAGGCTCGAGGCACCCACTGGACAATGCCAGTTCTTAGTTTTCACTCATTTTTTGACTATGGGAAAATGCTAGAGCTGAAAGCAATTTTTCTGTTAGAAGGACCACAACAGGTCCAAAGGATTTTAACAGTATGGCTTCCCATTTGAAATCATGGGGCATGGCCAGACAAGCGATTATTTGCTGTTTATGTAATATTTCTCCATAAATACATGAAAGGTTATTTTTTGTAGGGTAAGCTTTTTCACTACATTGACACAGGCCTGCTCCACTCACTGTTTATGGTGCTTTTATGCAGCATTTTATTTGTCTTATCTCCAGAAAGTCAGTTTTTCCATTTCAATTTTTTTTTAGTCTTAAGTGTCTAAGGGGTAATGCTTGTGGCTGAAAAAGCAGCTTCTCCAAAGCGGTTTTCCTCTTAACTGTTATGTGGAAATACTTCTCTTTCTTCATTCTGTCCAAAGAAAATGACTATTTTATAGCAGTTTTACTCTGATATATATGCCCACCTACAACTAAGTTTTGCCACTTTAAAGGTGCAGTAGACAGTAGACTTATTCAGACTTTCTTCTTACTACAGGGCTGAGCCAGAAAGGTAATTCCTGTTGAATATCCTCAGTCTAATTAAGTGGGAAGTGAGGGAGCGCACCATCTTTGTAGAACAATGATTCTTAACCAGTGTGTCATGGCACCCTGGGGTGCCATGAGAGCCTTTCAAGGGTGCCACACAATGTAAGCATTGTTGGGGGGCAAACATGAATCGCAAGATAAACCCAAAGATTTCCAATAGGAATCTATAGCGATAAAAATATTCTGATTTTTTGTGGTCTCTCAGTTCTTTGCAGCAAAAACATTGGTGATGCATAGGGAGTGCACGGAGGTGCATATGCACATGTACCCTCTGAGAGCGCTGGTGCGCCCTGTCAGGCCACGCTCCCTATTTAGGCAATGTGCAGGGGGCCAGGTGGAAGCGCAGGTCCCACCCCTGCGAGTACTGACTGGAGAGTGGGGCCGCCAGCAAAAGTGGCCATAGGACTTCCGGAAGCAGTGCGATCAGTGCAATCGGCTGTGGGGGACCCCACCCCCTGGTTGCTGATTGATGTCTAGGGCAGGCATATGCCCCCCCCACCCCCCCCGACTCAAGAGGCACCAGTCACCCATGCACAGAAGAATCACTATTCTGTAGCCAAAAGAAAGTGAAAACTAAGAGCTGACATTTTCCAAAGGGTGCCTTGAATCTATTGAGGTGTGCCTTGAGTTTAAAAAAGGTTGAGAATCACTGCTCTAGGGGCACTAACCACATTGCACTTTCAGGTCTTTTGTATGAAGATTGTCCCTTGAACCATCACTTGGGTTGGTTATCATAAGCATCTTCTTTAGACAGAATGACAAATGCAAGACCACATGGAGACACCCTCACTCTAAGCACTGGCATCTCCTTGACTATGTTATTATTAGAGCCCATGATCAAATGGATGTCCATATCATGCGAGCCATGCAAGGAACTGATGACTGCTGGACAGATTGCTGTCTTATTAGAGCCATTATGAACATCCAGCTTGCTCCAAAACACTAAAAAGAGCCAAAAGCAATGCAAAGGACCCTCAACACCAAATTTCTTCAAGACCTGAAGGTCTGTAAGGATCTCCATCAGTGTCTCCATGAAAATCTCTCTGCCTTGTCTGTAAATGAAGGCAACATTGAGGAACTCTGGAAGGGGTTTAAAACTGCTGTCCATATGGCCTGTGCTGAATCCTTTGGCTATACCACCCATCAGTACCAAGACTGGTGTGATGAGAGTGACACCGAGATCCAAGACTTCACTAAGGCTTTTGGTTCCATCAATCATGAAGCTTTGTGGAAAGTACTTGTCAGATTTGGATGTCCTGAAAAGTACATCAAGGTCCTGAGGCTTCTCCATGACCTCCAATAGAACTGTGATTGTTCCGTTTAGTGAATCAGAAACAGATCCATTTCTCATCTGAACTGAGGTTAAGCAAGGATGCACCACTGCCCCAGCTCTGTTTTCCAGGGCTCTTCAACCTGGGATGTTTTTACTTGAAGACCCAAATACTCAAAACAACATCCCTGACCTTCGATACGCTGGCAACTGCACCAGCCTTGCACACACTGAGGAAAACCTCCAGACAGCACTGGATCTTTTTGGAGAAGCCTATTAAACTTTGGGCCTCTCTCTCAACATTGAGAAAACTTAAGTGCTCTACCAGCCTGCCATCAATATGATCCCCCCGCCCCAGATTACCACCAAGGAAAAGACCCTGGAGGTAATTAAGCACTTCCCCTACCTCAGTAGCCACCTGTCTCAGAGAGTGAACATTGATGAGGAAATACAGCACAGGATCCAGTGCACAAGTGTCTCCTTTGGGAAATTGCTTCAGCATGTTTTTATTCATTGTGATCTCCGAAAAAGACACCAACATCTACGCAGTCATCATCCCCACCCTCCTCTGCAGATGTCTGGGTTGGGCAAAATGGTTGATCTGGCCAGTGGCCAGACTCCATTTCCTAGCAGCCGCTGTCTTTGTGGCTGGAGCCAGTTTCCATGGAGACCCCAGCAGCAGCTCCACTGTGATAGCATGAGGCCAGAGTTTGTGGAGACTGGCCCCAGCAACACTGGCAGGGCATGCGGCAGGGTGCAGAGCTGCTCCAGAGCCCAGCTGGGATCTTGTGGCTGTGACAGCACGATCCAGAGCCAGGGCAGAGCCACGATCTGCAGCTTGCATGCTCCAGGCAGGGGTGTGCAGGCAGTGGATCATGGCTGTGCCCCAGCTCCTTGCAGCGGTGACAGCGTGGTCCAAAGCCAGGGCAGAGTCGCAATCCACTGCCTACATGCCCCTGCCCAGAGCATGCAGGTTGCTCTGCCCTGATTCTGGATCATGCTGTTACTGCTGCAAGATCCCAGCCGGGATCCATGGAAACCTTGGTCTCATGCTCTCACTGCGTGCATGCTACTGGGGTTTCCATGGAAACTGGTTCCAGTTACGCGGTCGGGGCTGCTGAGAAATGGAGTCCACTGCCGGTGGGATCCAGCCCACGGGCCAGACTTTGCCCACCCCTGTTCTAGTCAGATGTATTGCATGAACCTGCTGTCTGCAAGATTCTCTGCTTCTACACCAGCTCCAGAAGCTATTTCTGCATGTCCCTGTTTATAATGGTGTTTTCTGTTAATTCTCTGTCCTTTCTCCTTGTTTAAGGAACATTTCTCACCTCTTGTCCCTTTCCTTTCTATTCTTCTGTTTCTCTCAATAAAGAACATCTCTCTGCTCCTTTTTGTTCTCTTCTATAATGCTGTCAAAAACTTAGTAAAACTGTCAGTTTTTCTTTTCTTTCCCTGGAAATTTGCCAACAATTCTGTAGGGGATAATATTTGTCTTCAGGGCCATAAGGCATTAAGTGCAGGAGCTGGAGAAGCTGAGAAACAGAACAAGTAGTTCCCTTAAATTAATGTAACAGTATAATATATTAAGATGCATTAATATTATATAGTAGCTATGGTTAGTTGAAATAGGTATGGTTCCAGTTTCTGTGGTAGCAATGATATAATGTTGTTTTTTCCTTTGATTTGGAATTCCATTTTAATAGTAATCTTCCTAGTTTTGGGTGATCTCAGAGATGGTAGATTTTTTTTTAAATCTGACCTCCCCTGTGCAGAGAACCACTGTTGTAATCTAAGATTAAGTGATGGACTAGGAGCCTCAAGGGGGATACATAACCAGGCATAAGGTTTGGGGCTGGAATGTGCGTGGGCAAAGTACTTGGGAATAGAGTTTTGGAGAGGAGAGGCTTTTAACTGCATGTGCATCTTTATAGATTGTCTTTACATTGAAGAAATTACCCTAATACTAGTCACTAAGAGGCAATGAACTTGTTCAAATCAGCAGAGCAATCAGCAGAGCACAGCATGAGGGGTTGTTATTCACCAGAACAGTCCTTACAGAGATGCTGCAGAACTGGAAGGGATGGTTATGTATACAGACATTAACAAAACTGCATTTCTTGGGAAGCTTCATGCCAAATAAAGTATTATCTTTGTCATAAACTCTTTTATATCAGCTGCAGTCATGCCCAAAGTGCACTGTTAAATAAATGTGGTTATGCAGTGATTGTACTGAACCAAGTGGCTTAATGACGTTGAGAGTCTGGTTATGGCATGCTGAGTGCTTCTAATCTCTATGTGATTTTATGTGTCTCACTTTGGGAAATATACCTTATAAAATGCTAAGTATGTCTCATAAAAAGCAAAGCACTTGTTATGTTGCTTTACTTTTTCTGCATCTGATGTTTTTATAAACATGCCTACAACACACTAGTTTTATTTAAAATTACCACTGCACTGCAAGCTTCACTGGACAGGGGCTGGGTAGGCACTATTCATTCTGATTACCTCTCCTTCGTTGCAACATTGAGCACAATGCCCAAGGACCCTCTTGGATTTTTG